CTTAAAACCTTTCACAGTTGACTGTCATAATCAAAGATAATAAATGAATAAGGAATTTCTACATTGTTTTCAACCTGTTTTAGTTTATGAATAAATTTTGAAATGTCTTACCTCTTCGAACGCTTGCTTCAATCGATTTCCTTGTTCAACAAAAATGTTTAACGTTGGATAAATAGCGAGGCTCCCTCGAAAATAAGGTCGAAGGTTTCTTGTTCCACAACAAGACGAATATTCTCTCAGTTACAGGAAACTATATTCAAACAAAAGGCCCATGCACTCAGAGAGTCATTGTTTACAATGACACATTTCGCTTTCCGATTGAGCTGCAAAAGTTAGCCATTGTTTACATGCATGGTTGAGACCCAAATAAACTTTGTCCAAGCCGGTTATATTTGTCCCTTTCCATAAATCTTTCGGACTGTGACCTGTCATTTAATTTTATTAAGGTCGTGGCAACAGTGCTTAGTCAGAAACACGAGATGGGATTTAAAAGATAACAAGACGCCTAAAGTCGTTTCCGTGGGATGCGTTGGTCTATGGAAGCATAATAGCGTTCTATCTGAATTTAAAAAAAATTAGAAACCACCGGAAAGATGTGTCATGTTATGAGCATCGATGATGAGTTGGTTTAATCGTATGAGTTGGTTTAATGTGCTTATGACTGAATTTATAGTACCCTGCGTGACAGGCTACTATTTCTCCCAATCCATCCCCTTTTGCTTCCTCCCTATCCCCTCTCCTTTCGACACCTGCTACGCAAGCTAAATTTATAGTTGTCACTGGTCGCAAGAATGGAGTTGATCTTGTTTTGATCTATCGCTTTGTAGTTTATTTTCATAGCCCGATTTGGATAAGAAAAAAGTTATTTTGCATCAAGGTAAGGTTTACCCATTTACCTTAAATGGAATGTGAACGGAAACAAGTAATGCAGAACATGCGCATAATGCTCTCTGATTAACCTGAACAGGAACTATATGTATAAAGATACGTCATATCTTGGTAGTAAGTAGCCACAGGTAACTTTTTTCAAAGAGAAATAACCATTGTAGTTTTAGGTTAATGGAACAAAACAAAACAAAACATCCGCTTGCTTTATCCAGGGTCGAACCCAGGGTTACAAAGTTCGATAAAGTTCCAATGTTTTAATCCAAGATGAAAGTTTAATATTCCAAGATGCCCTTGATACGGTTAAAAAATTAATTGCAATGTGTTTCCAAGGTCTCAAAGTTAACATAGTTCCAATGATTATCCCCAAGATTCCAAGATATAATAAGTTTACGAAGGTCCACCCTGATCCGTGTCCCATCCAGAAGTCCAATCCATGCCGAAAGCGAGTCGTCGATCGACGAGGACTATATTTTCGCGATTTCACCGCCAATCGTCAAGTTAAGGGTACGAGTTGAAATTTTACGCGATTTAACCTCCCATCGTCAAGGTGCTTTCGATAAGAAAAGAAAATAACTGAAATCTAGCTGTGCTCGGCAAAAACTGGTGAACTCAAATAGAAAAATCTATCAAATCACGGCCCGCAACCAGACGCTACTAAAACCTTATGAAAAAGCTAGACCTAAACAAAAAAGAATCATGAAGGAAAGAAATAATTTGGCTTAGGCCGCCTTTCGTGTCTTGCCAGTATCCCGAAGGATTTCACTGGTTAACTAGCCATCCTAAACCACGAGTGGGAAAACTCAAGCCCGACAAATTTGGCAAGGAACGTTCTGACTTCAAAAGTTCTTCAGAGGAAGCAAATCGATTAAAAATCGATACAGATTTTGTACAATCTGATTGGTCGGCCTGAAAGAAGAGATAATCGATAAAGATTTTAGGCAATCCTATTGGCTGGCTCTGCAAAGTTGGGTACAACCGAACCGGATTTTTACCGTGGAGTGCCACAGGCATCCCACGGAAATATGCAAAATTTGCAAAAGACTGTAATCATTGTGAACTTTAATTGGTCTAAGTTTCAATCTGTCCAATTATTATTCAAGACACATGTTGGCCTTCACAAACATGTTGTTAGATTACGAAGTTGTGCGATTGTGTACACAGAGCTTATGAAATATACAGGTGATTTGTTAATAAAACACTTGCAGAAGAAGGTGAAGGCGCTCGAAGGAACTAGTCTGACGTCACAATGGCAATTGTTTAGACCGGAAGCCGGATCGCACTGAAATCCCGACGATAACTTCATTTACAATACCACAGACTACTCTGGCATCCTTTGTTAATTGCTGCCTTTGAATACAATATTATTTAGTCATATATGCAAAGCCCATGCTCACGTTGAAATGAGGTTAATTAGGTTAAATTATCCCTTTCCCGGTCCCAGATTCCTTCACATCCAGTTAGCATTCCTCCCTTTTACAGCCAGAGTTTGAATTTGCCCAGTCCTGTATGGCGTCTTCCTAGTCCATCTCGGTCAATAAATTTCGGTGACGTATCTGAGACCTGAAAAACGGGTTCGGACCACGTGATCCAAACCAAATCGGCTGCGCGCAGTAATGATGCCTAAGGACTAGGCGGGGTTTGAATAAGGACATCAAGTAGTCTCAGCCTCCAGTTAAATTTCAGAGCCAGGATTGAAACCCGCCAAGAAGCCGTAAGTCCCATTAAGGCTCTTGAACCCGCCCTCGGCCTCACTAGTTACACAATTTACTCCATGTTCCTCTCCGCTCTCATCCTTAACGTTTTGGGGCCAGCCTCCTTTCGCGAGGTTCTGCGAGCCCTCCCCGGCCCCAGAAATCCTCCACGCTTGTGGAGGCCGAGGGTAAAGTAACCTGCCTGAGGAGTTATTAGGAGCGCCAAGAGGGGTTAAATAAGGGCGCGAGCGCGCAGCGAAGCAGATGAAAGTTTACCCCGATTTGTGATCAAGAATAGTTTGATAGAATAATCCCAAAAACTCTCAAAATGAGCTCGATATTTAAAGCAAATCGCCTAAAATACTGAAATACTTTTGCCGGCCATGGGGGAGCATAGAGGCGGAAGGATCGTTTCCTTCTCTTCGGAGAATCCATACTTTGCTTTACAACACAATGAACACCGCACGACTCAGCCATCTCTATGCATGATGATAAAGTTTCCATCAATAAAAAGGCTGGTTTGCGAGAAATTTGTTGCGCAGCACCGCAGACTAACGATGGTGACAAGCAAGTTTCTTGCCGGGGTTTCTTGTAACAGTTTAATCTGTACTGTATTTCTGTGTTGTGCTTGATATCCCATATTGTAATTGAGAGTACGCGATTTTAACGCTGTAGTGTGTGGCGTTGCGAGAGTTTGCTACGGTGTTGTTTGTTGGGGTTTATCTGTTAATGGTTATCTCCTATGTTAGCCGGCGCAGAGGAACCGAGATACTTCATTTAAGGCAGAAAGCAACCCCTCCCCCGACACCCAAACTTCCAGTTCTGGATCCATCCGTTTTAGATACAAAGTCTATATCTTAGCCTGAAGTCAAGTATCCGTGCAATAAAAAAGAAGGAATTGGGGGGCATAGGCCTACAACCCCTCCCACCCCTGTCTAGATCCACCTTTGCTTCTTCTGTCCCATAAGCATTTCGCTGAAGGATGAATAGTTTCATTTACCAAGGAACGAGGCCAGGCAGACGTTACTGGTCTAACGGAACTTTAATAACATCATTTTAAAAACCAAGGCTACGTACAATAATAAACAGGAAACCTGAAAATGTATCAGCCACTATATGTACAAAAATTCTAAAATGGCGCTTACTGTAAATCAGTGAAAGCATGATCACATTAAGCTAATAACACGCCTATAGGAAAATTTCTTAATGTATATATGATATGTAGCAGTGTATGAGTACCTTACGAGCAGTGGTTTAACTACTGCTCGCAGGGCAATGTATGCATGCCTATCTGACTTGATCATATATGTCTATGATCAATTTGTGAGTGTCGCCATTATGGAATACTTTACAGAGTTCATAGTAAAGCATCATCTACATATGAACTGTTTTGGTTTGTTAAGTACACATTGTTAATATGACGTTACTATGTTTACCCAATACTATATAAAGCCACCACGTCCAAACAACAATTCTCCGTAGTGTTAGTTATATTTCGCAGAACGTTAATCAATCCCACATTGTACTATGTAAAGCTATAATATATCACATGTAGCTATACTGTATGTACAACTATCTCAAAAAAAAATAAATACAGTGTCTATCAATTTAACCCAGTCTCCACAATAGCATTGCTGGAGATTTTTAGTTACGCGTTTTTCCATATGAACCTTTTAACTTTTGAAATCACAACCTGTTCAAGTACACTATTAAGACATAGTAGTGTCCAAAAACAATTTTGCTTCACCTAAAACTGAAAGTATTATGAAAGTAATACAACAGAAAATCGAAGGGCTGCGAGATTGCTTTGAAGTTACCTGATCACTGTGAAGCTTTGCAGAAAAAGAAAAAAAAACAACTTCTTTTTAAGGCTCCAAAAACGCCACTGAATCCAGACTAAAATCAGCGCTATTCAGGGAAAAACCAACACATGTTTAAATAGATTAGATAAGCGTACTTAACGGAATATTGTCATTAGTTTTAAGATACTTTTAGCATCCTGGGTTATTTTATTACTAAAGAGGTTTGGGTAATATAGCGGGATTCAAAATCCTCGAGAGATACCAGATGACTGATGAAGGAGTTAAACGCTTCACTGCAGCACTCACATTCACTAAGCTGAAACCTGCATAGTACTAATGAAGACACTAATGAAGGAGTTAAACATTTAACTACTGTATCCCGCTAAACTACTCAACCTTTAAAATGTTTTTTAGTCCGCAAAAACCCTGATTGTGTTCGTTGCCAGGTAATAACTTCGCAATCTCAATACATCCTAGCGACTGAAGGTTGTTGAAGCTTATATCAAAATACAAAATTCCTTCAACAGAGAAACATTTACATTGCAGACAAGGATTTAAAAGATAAATACTTTACAGTTTATGTTCATTGAGTTTAGGAGATTTTTTACCTTTTATAATATCAGTTATGTTTTTTTACCCCGAGGTCTAAGCTGTTTAGTGTGCAGTTAGTGTGTGTGAGTGCTGTAGCTAAATGTTTTACTCCTTCATCAGTTATGTTGTTAACCCCGAGGTCTAAGCTGTTTAGTGTGCAGTTAGTGTGTGTGAGTGCTGTAGCTAAATGTTTTACTCCTTCATCAGTTATGTTGTTAACCCCGAGGTCTAAGCTGTTTAGTGTGCAGTTAGTGTGTGTGAGTGCTGTAGCTAAATGTTTTACTCCTTCATCAGTTATGTTGTTATGCCTGAGGTTTAATCTTTTTAGTTCGCAAAAACCCTGATTGTGTTGGTTGCCAGGTAACAACTTCGCAATCTCAATACATCCTAGCGACTGAAGGTTGTTGACGGCTAAATGAAAATCCAAAATTCCTTCAACAGATTTAAGTGCATGCACTAATGCTAAACAGTCGAGAGGTGACAGGTTACAATAATAAAAATAAAGCGCCTTACAACCAATTTTCGCCAGTTTCTTTTGAACTTCTCCATCAGAGGCTTTGTTCTCATACATGCAATTGAATAGCGTCACCACTAATAACCTGTGTTTATAATGTGGCCACCAGGTCAGTGTTTCAGTTCGTTCCTCTGAATCTTCATTCATCTCGATTTCAACTTCATCAGTATCCGTTTCTGAGGGAAGAAGGTCGCTGAAAATATCTGTTGATGGTCCTTCTTTTTCAGCCAACAGTCCAGCCACAAACTGCATCACAACCTTCCACGCGCCATCCTGGATGTGATCGGAAACAAAACCCCGCAGTTGTTTGGAACTCAACGTGTCTACCAAATACTTCGCCGCTAAGAACTCCTGTAAGGTCAGGTGTAAAAAAGCAATATTGCGCTCTTCTCTCTGCTAAAGGACGGTCTCTAAAAATCAGGTAAACGGTGAAACAGGCCATTACCCTTTAGGTCGTTAACTTCGTGTGATTCAAAAATTAGTCTTCCGTTTTTAATTCCATCAAAAGCAATTTTTCCCAGTCGTGTGAACACATTTTGCACAGAGGAAGGCAGTTCCTTAAACGGCTTAAGAAAATACTGTTGACCTTCAGTTTTATAGTGGCGATATTGATCATCATCGTAGCTAAAGTAAAACATCCTTACTGCAATTGAGTATATTTCTGTCAGTCTCGTCGGGAGGCTGGTAAAGCCAGTGTTACCAAGCAACTCTAACAAGCAACTACAAATGATAAAGCAATTAACAGGAACGTAGCAGAAGGCTACAAGGTTTAAGTTACTGGTGATGTGTTGCTTTATGGTTTCCTTTGTCCGCCTCCTTTGTAAACTTCTCTACATAATTATTTACTTGCTCAGTTGAGAATCCCAGAATTTCCACTGTTTTGTGGAAGTCAAGACTTTTCATACACGACACGGCATTGGGTCTTGTAGTCGTTAGGATTGTCGCACCGGTAAGAATTTTTCCTGTACTATTTTCTTCATAAGGAAATAAACAGGCATCCTTTCCTCTTCACTGTTTCTGTACGGAATGTCATCTTTATTTATTTTAGTCCTACCAGAATATTCGTCAAATCCATCAAAATCAACAGCACTCCCTCTGGGTTGTGGCGGATGTAGTTCCAGAGCTCTTCGGAAAGAGCGGTTGAATACTCTGAGTGATCCAGAAGCTCGCGAAGATTTAGTTCTTGGTTTCTAGAGTTAAACATTCTCAGCTTAATGAGAAAGGCAACTTTAAAATCGACTTGCGATTTTTGGGTTTCGTTGAAAAGGTTATCGGACGCCCAGTTGCGAAGAATCTTTGTGCTAAACATGGTTTTCCAATTCCTGGACGACCGACAACAAGAATCTTCTGCTTTTCAGCATCGAAAATATCTCCTGGCAGTGTTGGTTGTAAACTTTCATTGGCTTTGTGGTACTCGTTTAGCTGTTCCACTCTGTCTCCTGAAAAGTCATAGTTAGCTCTCCTTCATAAACAATCAAATTGGTGAAGATTTCGTCAAGTTTTAGATCTCTTCTGGGTCCTTCGCCTGGATTATGAAAAGGTGATTTAAGATCTTCGTAAAGTTTTTCAGTGACATCTCGGACATGTTTCTTCATACGTTCGATGAAAGGAGCGGCTAAGGTTTCTTCGTTTGTTTGAGTGCGGTTGAATGACGAGTCAAGTGAAGCGTTGCTGGATGAAGAGGTTGATGGTCGCCTTACGGTTCGACGGTCCTTATACTTTTGTTGCTGTGGCCCTGCTGGAGAAATAATCACTTACCATTATTTACTAGAAAAAGTGGTTAATTAAAATATCAAAATATCGCTATCAAATGAAAATAGCATGGAAAAGTATATTTCAGAATAGTAATGCATCAACCATGAACCACTAACAATCTTAAATCTTAGTCAAGTGATTTTACGATTTAATAAACAATTATTGGATGAGGTTTTTGTGATATCCGGAATAATCAAGGTCGAGGTAAGTGTTATCAGCCGAAGCCGAAGGCTGAGGCTGATAACACTTTACCGAAACCTATGATTACAAAGGACGTCTCAGAAACCGAACCTAACATAATTGTTGTATTATACATTGTTTTGAAGGAAATAACGACAAACACACCGTCGCAAAGGAAACTGAAGGACCGCGGTTTTATGTCCGTAATACCGAGAGTCCGTAATAACGGGGTGCGAATAAAAAAGTGCTTTTAACATATAATAATATTATAAATAACATAAACTACGTTCGTAAGGTTTTCTTAAATCTTAAATGTGTATTTAATGTGCTACTTATGCTATATGCAGGGCGACCCAAAATATCTTCCAAGACTGGACGAACTTATCAACAGTACCGAAACTGTTCAGCAGCCGTTGAGAATGGAACACGAGGGCTTGAGCTCTCCTAAGAGCCGGGAAGAAAAAATGCGCAAGCTTAAGTGAAGAAGTGAGGACGATTGTGCAGACAATTTAAGGAATCGATGTGAAAATAAACATTCCGGAAATCTTTTGAAATGTATTTTGGCAAAAGGAGAACAGTAGACTGTAATTTTACATAATAATGTTACATGAGAAGTACAGAGTGTCCGCTTTATCGAGGGTCAAAACAATAAAATTGTCACTTTGGTACCAAGAAAGTGTCCGTAATTCCGTAATAGAGAGAGTCCGCAGTAGCGGGGGTCATTTTCAGTCAAACCACTAAAGCTTCTGCTGGGGATCTAGATTTTGTCCGTAATAGCGAGCGTCCGCAATAGCGGGGTGTCCGCAAGGCGAGAGTTGACTATATAAATCTGTAGGTTGCGCTGATTTCCAAAATTAGCTGTAAGCTCTTAGCCAATGAGAAGACAAACAGTGATTACAATGTATAATAACAAAGAAAAATAGACAAAATGACTGATTGATATATCATGATGACATCAAAATCGTTCACATCGGAGAAAAGAAAGAATCCTTCATTAAACATTCTGATAACATTATGATTATACTATCACAGGAAAAGATAAAATATGGTATCACGAAAAAAATCTTACAGAGAATAGTAAAAAAGAGAATCAGTGATGGCCGAATGGGCTACTGACTCAAAAGCCATGAGAGCTCGAGGAATAATTGTCTTAGTAAAATCCAAGAAGTTGGTCAAAAATATCGAGACAAAACGACTTTAGCTAGCAAAACGCGGATCAGCCGCCACTGTTTTGGTTTTCAAAGCCGGCGCTTTTCGCTTCTAGTGGGCTACAACATATGGCCTAGTAGTAGTAGCAAACCAATCAGAACGCAGCATTGATAACAGACCACTACAGTAAAACCCGCAACTAAGAACCTAAAAATTAAGAACCTGTTAGCCTAAAATTGGTCATTTATACCCCTATAAACAAGAACCTATTTAGCTTAAGAAATTTAAAACAGGTCCTTATTTTCTAAAATCATACTAGTACATTACAGCTGCATTGCAAGAATCGTATTTGAAGCAAAAAAAGCAGATTGCCATTGTTGTAAAAATGTTTTTAAAGAAAAATGAGTGCAAGATATGTAGACTTACAAAGCATACTAAGCAATATGTAGATCAGCACACCATTATGGGTGGGATGGGGCTGAAAAAATAAAAGTATAGGCTAATAACCAACTTGTTTGCAGCTGTGTTTTAATTGTTTTTTCTCCAGGATTAAGAACCCATTTTAAGAACCTAAATAGCCTAAAATTCTGTTAACTACCATTTATATAAGAACCTGTTTAGGCTAACTCCTAAAATGTAGGTTCTTAGTTGCGGGTTTTACTGTAGTTGGATTTTACTAATGCGTCGAGGTATATATCTAATGCTGTTCACCGTCCCTGAGGGGTGGTTGTTTTAGTATTTACCAAATCAGTTGAATAAAATGAAAAAAGTAACTTTGTAAATCAAAAACGCCACTTAGTACGAACTTTGTTTACAATTTACAAACATTTCGAGGATTTTGTCAAGTGCATTCTTACGATTTTGCTGTAAATTCAGCAAGAAAATAATTTTCCTACCTACCAGTAAACACCGACAAGCCAAAGTTCGTCGCTTACTTAGTATTTGTTTGTACGACTGCTTTATTTATAGCTCAGATTTCGTCTTCCGAAAATGTCTTGAAACGAGACGTCATCTTGGCTCCGGTCGCAAAACAGTGAATAGCCAAGGATATTCCGAGTTACGGGGGCCAATCTAGCCTGCGAACAGCAGATGTATTTCCGGTCGTCGAAAATACGTCTGCTGTTCGCAGGCTAGGGGCAATCAAAACGCGCAAAAATTGCTATTCACTGATTTGGTAAATACTTAATCAAGATATACCGATTACCGACAAAGCTTACAAGAAACATGGGTTGTGGGCGCGTACCATGCGGTTTGTTGATGTATTCGTTTATCTCCACCTTAAACAAAATCCAGGCTCAGTGTCCAATACAAAGGGAACACATTCACTATTTGAACCTATCACACAAATGATAGACATTGTTTGACAACTCCTGTCACTCATATGAGTTGCACCAATTCAATCTAAACTTTCTCAGGATGAAGACCACTACATGCACCAACAGATACAACTGCTTTAGGTCTAAGCACAGTGGCAGCATTCTTAACAGAGATGAGAGAACCACCAGGACCACTTTTGTAACATCTTAACAATGCAACTTTAACTTTCTCTTGACTTTCACTCGTATCAGAAAAGTACACATAAACAAGATCATCAAATTACGTAATATATAGGGGTTTTTTTTAGCTCACTGTAACAAGCTAATAACTCACCATTCTTCACTTTCAGTAACAAAAGATCAACAGGAAGATCAGCATGTTTTGAAGGTCTGGTTCTGCTAAGCTCAGGAGGGTCCCTAATGCATTCTTTTGGAGTCCTTTCCTTTCTTTCTCTCTTTCTTTTCTCTTTTCTCTTTTTTTTCGATGTGGTTTTTTGGTTCTTTGTGTTGCTTGCAGTATTCTTTAACCTAGACGTGAGAACAGCGGTAAGCCAGGGAGTGTTACCATCACTGCCCTCTGATCTGCGAGTTGTATCCTCCGAAGTTCTGAATATCTTGGATTCTGATCAGTGGAAGAAAAGAATAATTAAAGATGAGTTAATAATAATAATATTATAATAAGAATGTGTTGTGCTAGTGGTTCAGCTAAAAAGAGCCCATGCTAAAAGGCAGTTACAAGTAAACCACCGCCCCAGCCTCGCATGTACGGTATTAACCAAACAAAAGTTGTCCCCCCCCCCAGGGTCTTCCTAGTTGTAACACAATCCCCCCCCCCCACAACCCCAGAAAAAGAAGGTACCCTTAAAGTTGGCCTTTTTTTTTTTAGCCCAGAGATCACATTTCCACTCTTAACTATAACTGAACCTATGTTCTAACAACAAAAATTACCTTCGTCATCGGAGTCTTCAGCCACACCTCTCTTCCTCTTTGCTGCTTGCATGACCTGAATAACATCAACAGGGTGATCAGCATCTTTTGAAGGTTTGGTTATTGTTTTAATGTCAGCCATGGATTGAAGAACTTTATTAAGCTCAGGAGGGCCTCTAATTGGCTTCATTGTGTTGCTTGCAGTCTTGTTTACGAGGAGGAGATGGCTGGTAAGCTGTGGTGCAGAACCATCACCTCCGTCTGACCTTCTAGTTGAATCCTCTGGAAAATCAGTGGTAAGCTGGGGTGTTATGCCATCACTGTCCTCTGATCTGCTTGCTGAATGTTCTGAGGTTCTTATTATCTTAGATCCTAATCAGTGAATTAAAAAGAAATAATCAAAATTAATGATAATAAAAATGGAAATCAGTAAAATAATACACGGTATAATATTAACAATACGAGGTACTAATGGCAGGTTGCAAAGACACAGAAGAAAGTGTCAGAACCTGTATCTTGCACCCTTTTGCCACTAGGATTAAATGAGACTTAAACATGGCTTCTTGGTGTAAGATTGGCTCTCTTCATACTAAACATTGTAAAATTTAGCACTGGAAATAAGCACAATATCTTTATAGCACCAGGAATATTATATTGCTTTTTATTAAAACAGTACTATATATCACAGCAATACCCAATAAGATTGTACTGTTAGTAATAATTGAATTTCTTCCTTTGCTGTGTCCGTGCTACTGACTGACTGATAAATTCATTTCAAAAACGAATTACTAATTCATAAATAAAAAACAACAGAAATTGACGTTTAATGAGTGTCTTTATATCTGATAAAGACACAGCTAAACTTTACTTCCAATTTTTAAGACCAAAATAATCCCAAATCCAAACATTAGTGCAAGAACGAATTGACATATATCAGAGGTTTTGAAGCCATTCAAAAAAACTCACAGTCATGTAATACACTCCTTTCAACAGTACATAAAATTTTAAATGTTAAAATCCCAAAGTTCCAGCTAAAACGTGGCCTTCATTGTACAAGTTGGCAAAACCTGTGCCTTTTTGAATCATCAGAGATGCAATTTGTGGCATGAGTATTTGAATGTTTGAATATTTCTGTGCTAACTGAAAGTGCAGGACAGTTTTGTCTGTCATCATTGAAGGATTATTTTGGTAGTTTCTGATTGAGGGTATAATATTGGGACAGGTTTTGTTAAGAAATATAAGTGGTCCACTTTAGAGATACACGTACAGAGGAAAGCAGCATGTACTAATACAACAGCACCAATTCTTCTGAATGTAGTGAAAGATAACTAGACATTGGAGGAAGATGGGCTTCATGTTTTCCAGCCTCACAGTAAAAATGAGTAAAAACAAACTGCCAGATTTAGCCAAAAGAGCCTCTGTTGAAAGGCAGTTAAAAGTTAACCTGACCACAACCTTGCACGTATTCAACAAATGACAAGTTGTTCCCCCTTCTAAGATCTGCGTAGTTCTAAAATCTTTTTGCCTCGATCCACGTAAATAGCCCCTAACAAAACGTTCTCTTAGGGTTGGTCCACATGCAAAAGTTTTTTTGTAAAAGACTAATCACTCACTTGCTTAAAAAACAGTCAGTTCTTCCCAACTTTGCAAGGAGGGATGGGTTCAGCCAAATGTGTGACCTTTTATTTTTTGGGTCAAAGTACAGTAAACACCCGCATATAAGAACAAATGTATTAAGAACAGCAGGCTGAAATTTGGCCAGTAAAGCCCCATTTTTATAAGAACAAGTGTCATAATTACAAAACATGTAAGTTTATGTTTTCTGTCAGATAACTTCATTTGTTAATATAACCAAATTACAGAATATTATTATTTATTTTGTTTCACTAAAATATGCTAAATATACCTCTAGCACCATGTTTTGGATAGTATTACTAAATAAAAATTTAAGAACATTTTAACAACATTTTAAGGCTGATTTGTCATTAAGCACCCGATAAATAAGAACTCAATCAGCCTAACCTCCGAAATCGTGTGTTCTTATATGTGGGTGTTTACTGTAATCAAAACATAAGAATTAAAATGATAAACTTGCAGCTCATATTTCAAGCCTAAACCAATGAGGCATACATTAAATTACATGTGTGATTTTCCCTAAAGGAACTTCAAATTTTATATTGGATGTTATGTAACAGATGGACATTTCACAGATAGCTCAGATTTGCGAACAGCCCACGTTCGATATATTAAAATTCTAACTTGACTTCCTACTTGCGTCGCTGTGTAGCAGCACCAATATAACAAGGATTTCAGCACTGTTTCGCAGACCGACTTTACTAGAGTTTAGTTTCCTCTGCAGCACACGCTAGATTTCAAGGGTCAAAATTGCACATTTTTCACCACTCTATTTATTTATACAATAAAAAACTGTCATTCTTCACAATGATCAGTTATAGAAATTATTCAGAAATAACAACACTAATGATTTAATTCATTGTACAATAGTCGAGAACATAACATTTTAACGAACAAGCTGATGGAGTTTGAGCGAGTGACCTCAGACCGAAAAGGAATCAGGTTAGTGCAAGAGTTCTCTTATATCTCTGCAATTTTTAATTACAGTAGAGGTAAATTCTGGGTACCTCTCTGCTCAGGAATTATGGCAATGAACACTTTAAGGAGTGTCTCACATGGCATGTCCAAGATAAGACTAGTGATGACGTAGCGCTTTCTGATTTAAACTGAAGCATGTAAACAAACACAACTAAAACTCCTACAATAATCACGGACATATATAATGACTTGGAAAAAAAGCAGGGATAACAAATGAAAGGATCGTAACAAGGAAAACTGACAGTTTAAACAGTGATGAGTAATCTTTGCAGTCCTAAAAAAAGATTTAGACAAGTTCTGTCCTTTAACTCCTTCATTTCAGTCACAATTATTTAAAAGTATAATGAGATATGCTGTTTGTTGCTTCCCTTACACACCTTGAACTTAACACTATCTAATTCTTTCTCTTATAGAAACCTTTTTAATTATGAAATCAAGGATAAGGACACAAATGAGAAGGTTTATGAGCTTGCTCACTTTAGTACAAGGTTACAACATCCGATGGAATGACATCTTGTACAACTAGTATTCAGATTAAGCAGGGACAACTTATTGTTCAGAACAAAAAAAAAGTTCATTCTCATAAAGACATTTACAGTATTAACATCATCTTGCTATGTCCTCTGCTACTGATAAACACGCAAGAAGCCCAAAAGGTATTGTGGGTGGTTTTGAGTTCACTGTTTTTCAAAGAAATTTGAAAAAATGACAGGAAATATGATTGCAAGTGGTAAAGGAAATCAACAAAAGAGGGTTCGTCAAATACAGTGTCCGGAACCATGTATATATTGATCATATCCCATATTACCTTTTGGGGTTGTCGCATGCACATTTTTTCTGACAACCTTTCTCAAAATAGCTATGTGTATATAAATTCTTCATACATAATTTCCACAAGTCCAAAAAACAAAGCCAGGATGTTTGTGATTGGAAAGAATGTTTTACCTTGTCTGGGCTGAAGGCTGACATAGTGTAACTCATGAATGTGTCCCAACACAAGGGGGGTGGTGTTGGCAAGTGCATGATCTGGCAGGACAACTATCTCATGGTCGAGACTGCTGATAATACGGATGGTAGTTTGAAAGTGATTCGCTGCAGCAAACAAAACCACATGATCGCCCCAAGTACCGTCTTCCGCCATGCTTTGTAAGTATTCACGCCAAGATGGGTATCCGGAGACAAAGTTAAACAGAGATGTTCCTTCGTGCTAAAAAACAAAAACAATCACACAAGTGAATTTCAATTTTTTCTGAGTAAGCGACATAGACATGGTAGAAAGCTATGCTAGAAAGTGTATTTAAAGGCTGCACATGACACTTATTGATCGCCATATAATTGTGTACAGTGTTCAACAGGGAAAGTTTATTGAGGACAGTTTCGGAAAAAAATGTTAATAAAGCCGGAAAAATTTAGCCTGTGTAGCAAGCGTTTCCATGCGCATTTGTCGAGAAAGTTGGGCTCCTGCTCTAACTTTTGCGCAATAACTCGATTGGAAACGCTTGCTATGCAGGCTAGGAAAAATTGCATGCTTTAGTATGGCTAAAAGCAACAAACAATCTCCGATTAGTTTTCACAATGGATCTATCAAAGGTATCGTAAATTTTTATTGCTGATACGCAATGCACGACGTTCACTTTCCACACCTTTGCCCACATTGTCTAGATTACATTACAGTTCTTCATGCTTGTGAAACTTTTCCCCCTTTGTTAACGCTTTTTCTGAAACTTCTCTCAAGAAACTTTCCCAGTTAAATGGGCTACTCAACAATGGCAATCGAGGAGGAAACCTACATCATGTAAGAAAACACCAGAGTCACCCGGCTGTTCCTCTTCGCTGATTGGCCAGAAATTTTTTTTCTGGCCAGTCAGAAGCAGGCAATTCAATAGCTTCTGGAATTGGTTTGGTAAGAGTAAGTGCCCAGGGGCTCATATCAATCTTACAGTAAACTTTCACCACAAACATTCTATCACTCCAACTAGCTGCCCCTGCGTCTCCGAGGATGTGGCTGCCTTCACTTAATATGCTTTGCTGTTACTAAGTCAATAATTGATAGTCCTCATTTTTTGACGTAGGAAATCCCTGGGGAGTACTCCCTTACATTAACCTTATAGCTATTGCTCTGAAATAGTGTCAAGATTTGGAGAGCCGGACAGCACACCCTCACTATGACTTCCCAGATAATACCCCCTGGGGAGAAAATAGAAGGTATTTTATAAACTGGGCCCCCCTTGAGGCAGCCCTGTTAATGAATATTTTTTTTATTATTTTGATTCTCTCCAAAATTGTGAAAGTAGTTTTCAGACGGAAATGATACTGTTAACAGGGATTTAAAAAAAATTCACCTTAGTCACCTTTAACCTTGGCGACAGAAGGCGACTACCGGTCATGACGTACCGCTATTTGTGCGATGTCACCAAGACAAGTGCCCTAAAATGGTTGTTTTTGGTTGTTATTACCCTCCAAGTTTTGCAGTCAAAGCTCATTAAGTATTTCAGACTAAATACAAAGAGGTGGGTGGTTTCAAAGAAGATCGAGAGAGCCTAGTCTTAATCCCATAATACTAAAGTTCTTTTTTGTTACGTTCCATACCTGCCAACCTTCAGAGATCTAAAATCTGGAGATTCTCCATTTTGCACCACAACCCCCCCCCCTCAACCCCGAATGTCAACAGCACCAACACCCCCACCCCCCCCGCACCAACAAATTGCCTTATGACATTATATGACGTCTTACATGAAGTACATGGAATCTAAATGCACTTTCATCGTTGTAATGACGAACCAATCTTTGTCATTGACTAAACATGTGCAAAAATGTCCCAGAAACTGTACAATGAATACAAAAAGTTCGAATTTTGTGAAAAATTGGACTAAATTTCAAACTATAGCACAGAAGTGCTTAAAAGTCCATTTTATCCGGGAGATTTGGTGCTCTAACCGGGAGACCGGGAGATTTGATGAAAAACTTGGAGACTCCCGGAAAAACCGGGAGAGTTGGCAGGTATGTATGTTCAATCCCAGCTTTTATCCAATTTAGTATAGCAAAGAAACGTCGAACTGAGTTAAGGAATCAATTATTGGCGTGATACAATTTAAGGAACAGCTGTAGGGCAGTAATTAGCAGTGATATGAAGTAATTGAGAATAGGACAAGCTTTGTGACATAAGAGTATAAGTAAAAGATAAAGCAGGAGCCGACTCACTAGTTCTCGAGCGCACAGCATATGTTTAGTTCCTTATCATAAGGGAGGAATCCACCAAACAGACACAGAAGGTCCATGCTAGGCTAGTCATCAACTTACCAGATTAGGGTTCTCATCAAGGAACTGAACCAAGGTTTTTCTTAACTCTTTGTGTGAGATTTGAATTCCTTTGACACTTTGTAATTGTTCTGATAATGAATGGAATAAACAGTTCCCGGATGCTTGGTTATCAGAAACAAAGAATCCTTTGTTGGCAGCGATCGCTCTCAGATCAGATGGTAGATTGGTTTTCTTCCTAACCTGCTCTGCATCACATTGTAAATTTTGTAAAGATGGAAAAACATTCCAAGCTGAAAAAAAAAAAGGTACTTATAATCACATTTTCCATTGTTTTGTAGGGGTGTAGTGGTCAAGGATATTGATAATTTTTGGGATCCTATTGCAGTGATTAATTTAAAATAATCCTCTGAAATTGACATCAAGTAGTTTTTTATGATAAGAGAATTAGCAAGATTTTAATAATATTATTTGCTTAATCCATAGTTCTCAGTTAGCTCGTTGATTTATTTTGCAGAGTGCAGTGTAGACTGGTTAGTACGTTTCACATACAACACAATGGGGTCGAACAGAAGTGAACATATTGCATCTTGGGCAGTTGTTATGCCCAAAATATTTTGCAGCAAACTGTCTCAATAAGAGTAAAGACACTTAGCAATACACTTTTGGTAGCTGTTTATTTTCAATTCTTATTAGAGTCCACATACTATTATTCCTTTTGCAATGTGTTAAGAATATTTTTTTTTCATAAAAAGAAAATTGGCATTCATACCGTACACCCAACTGATCATCATGTCAATGAGATCTTTTATCTGTTTGGCCCAGTTGTATTTCTTGCCATAGGATTCGCGCAAGGTTTCTGCTTCCTCAAGCCGACTTCTCCGGTCCTTGACAAAGATTGTTTTGATAGCCGAGGTCCAATCTGCCGGTTCCTCTGAGTTCACTACATATGTTGATCCAAAAGGTACACTGTATAAAGCTTTTCCAAAACCGGAGTTGCCGCTGATGAGCACAGGGAGACCAGCTGACAAGGCCTCCAGTCCTGCCAATCCAAAGCCTTCTGTTCTTGAAGGCATGACAACAAGATCCACTTCTTGAAACAAACGCCTTAAACTCTCTCGATCTTGAACAAATCCTCTTACTCTCAAACGACTTGCAGGGACACCACATTTGGTCAACTGTTTTGCTATTTCTTGGTGTTTTCCATCTGGAGCTCCAACAAAGACAAGACGAGTATCTTCTAACTCAGCAACTGCTTTCCCAGCGATGTCAAATCCTTTTAATTTGAAATCCTCCACGTCTCCACGACCAAATACCAAGACACTAAGTTGCTGCCTTTCGCTAGAAGCCTGCTTCACAGATGCAAACTCTACGAATACTCCCGGAGTGAAGTCAACAACATTGTCATCTTTTTGGCAGCTGCGAAGATAGGAGCGAAAGGCCTCGCTCAACTTGGGACCAACTCCAACAACATGATCCGCCATTTCACACAGTTTTACTTCCGTCTTGTGCTTTTCCTCGCCTTTTGAAATTGGATCTGAATAGTTCTTGAACATTCCAAGTTCCTCTGGATCTGTGTGCACCACTTGAACCCATTTGCACTTTTTAGTTTTTTTAATGATTTGTGCTTGTCTACCGAGTTTAACACCATGACCTATGATAATGTCCATTTGCAAATCTTCAGGTGGAAAGCAAAGCCAGTTAAGTTGATCAAAGCCAGGCAGTGGTGTTGCCTCAACGATCTTTACGTTATGCTTCATGGCTGCCTTCTTTTCCTCTTGACTGCATTGAGGTAAAAAGAAAGTGATTTCCACTTCAGGGAATTTGGCCAACTGAATGGCTAACTCTCTGTTTATGGTGGAAAGTCCCCCTTTGCTTGATCCCCATTCGGAAGCCAAAATAGTGACTTGCACTTTGCGGGAATCATCTGCTCTGCAATCCCGTGACTGGAGTTCCCATAAAGAAGATGCCATATAGCCAAACATCAAAGTTGTCATACATCTTTAATAAAAAGTAAACAGTAAAGTAAAAGTAAGTTGATAGTCCATTGTAAGTCTCGATTCTTGACTCGACTCACGATTCTTGATTCCTGCGCAAATTGAGAATTGAGAATCCACAACAAGCTACTGAGCATCAAGTTGAGTATTAAGTCGCACTGGACAGAAAACAAAAGATTCACCCATGACTGATTTCTTGATAATTTTACAAAGGCATACAGCTGTGACACAACACAGCATGGTTATATTCACGTAAGCGACTGTATGCTCGAAACAAGACCAATTCACACTTAAATGTACCAACCCATACTTATAACACTAGGTCTCAATAATCTTTTATAAATCCAAGCTCCAAGGGTAACATCTACGTGGACAGTTTCTTCCTGAGAACCATAAAAGATTGGAATGCTCTAGCATCAAATATTAGGAAGATAGAGACCTTGGACATTTTTAAACGCACTGTTCGGGAACAGATTTTAATTATTTAATTACATAATTCCATTTATTTGATTATTTGATTTATTTATTTCCTTTATTTCTTTATTTTTTCTTCATTTTTATTTTCTTATCATTTTTTTTTTATTATTTACCTTGGTGATGGGCATCCTTTGCCAAGTATAGGTATAGAAATAGAAATAGAAATAGAAATTCAACTTATATGAAGGGAATGTTTCTTCAGGAACATCGGTATACTCGTGAACAATCAACGGCATTGTTATTTCGTAACGTCAAAAGATTTTGGGCTTATCCGGCCTGGCTTGATAAAGATCAGCTGTAATGTACACGTCCGTAACATGACTAATCTTTTGCTCTGAAATTTTGTTCATGATCCTTGAAAACTTTAGAGAAACAACGTTTTTTTTTCTAGTACGAAATTTAGCGTGTTCTTAAAAGTTCGTAAAATTCGGCTGCCCTTTTCTGCGATGGGACATGATACACATGAACTTTTTTGTTGCCTAGCATGTGACTAAGTATGTCTACGGCGAGATAAAAAAAAATTATCTTTTACCTGCCTTTTTAGCGTGGCATGTTGTTTGGATAAATCACTTTAAGGCTAGAATAGACATTTTGGCAACATCTACCCAATTTAAAACTCATAGGCGGTGGGGCAGATGGGGCAGGGGGACTTACATTTTGGTGCCAAAAAACACTTTTAAGGATGTATTTGACATTTCCTGTGATATTGGCGACTTCAGAGCACACTCTTCCTGCCCTCAGATGACTCAAGAACTACCTAAGAAGCACTATGACGCAGGGTTGAACAACTGCCTACAGATGCATTGTCACAAATCGATTATGGACACACTAGACACTGTGAAAATTGGATAGAGGTTTGCTTGTGCAAACTAAAAACGCCAAGGGTATTTTGGAAAATTTGAGTAGGGGTTTTGCGCATGGCTGAGTGAAAATCTTCAAATTGATAGATCATTCTTTGCGTCCTGTAGGACGCATGCCATGAATCATTTTACGTCTTTGAGGATTTTTATGCGTCAGGGATGCAGGACGCAGAGGTAACAAAATCACTGGTTACTATAATTATTGAATTTCTTCTTTTGCTGTGTCCATGGATACACTTACTGACTGATAAATATATTTCAAAAACTTGTTAATAATTCATGAAAAAAAAAGAAATTTAAGTTTAATGAGTGTCTTTATATCTGATAAAGACACGGCTAAAGTTTACATCCAATTTTTTTAAGACCAAAATAACCCCAGATCTAGATATTAGTGCAAGAATGAGTTGATCCATATCAGAGATTTCGAAGCTGTTCAAAAAACACGCAGTCATCCGTATTATCAGGTTTAAAAACTATCAGCTTCACCTTTAGTTTTTAAACCTGATAATACACTCCTGCTCGCTTTTTAACAGTACATAAAATGTTAAAATCCTAAAGTTTCAGCTAAAACTTGGCCTTTATTATACAAATGCACAAAACTGATGCCTTCAATCATCAGAGGTGGAATTTGTGGCATGAGCATTTGAATTTTGAATATTTCTGTGCTAACTGAAAGTGCTGGTCTACTAAAGGTGGACAGTTTTTTGTCTGTCATCATTAAAGGATTATTTTGGTAGTATCTGATTGAGGATGTAATATTTGAGACAGGTTTTGTTTCAAAACTATATGTGGCCCACTTTAGAGATACATGTACAGAGGAAAGCATGCAGCAAGTACTAATACAACAGCATCAATGCTTTTGAATGTATAGTGAAAGATAACTACACATTGGAGGAAGATGGGCTTCGACATGTTTCCAGCCTCACAGTAAAATAAGTAAAAACAAACTGCCAGATTTAGGCAAAAAAGCCTGTGTTGAAAGGCAGTTAACAGTTAACCTGACCACAACCTTGCATGTTTTAACCAAATGACAAATTGTTCCCCCTTCCAAGATATGCGTAGTTCTAAAATCTTTTTGCCTCGATCCATGTAAATCAAGCCCCTAACAAAAGGTTCTCTTAAGGTTGGACCACATGCAAAAGTTTTTTTTAAAAGAACTAATCACTCACTTGCTTAAAAATGCGAGTGGGTTCTTCCCAACTTTGTGAGGAGGGATGGGTTCAGCCAAATGTTTTCTCTAGTACCCAACATCCCAGCAATTATGACCAAGGTTGCAATAGCGTTACATTGTACAGTGAGTGATCAAATTTTCTCTTTTAGCTTATAATTGTATAGGAGGGCTCATTTTCTAACCATAGAAATTACCTTCTTCATCTGAATCTTCAGTCACATCTCTTCTTCTCTTTGCTGCTTCCATGACAATAAGTTGAAATGGCTTCACACAAACTGGAGAATATTAAATTAAATTTTAAATATTTATAAGCAAAAGAAAATTCCAAAGAAACTATGATAAGTAACACATGTACTGTTGTCATGACCACAAGAAAAATAGTTAGTCAGTGGCTACAAGTGTAAAATCTGGCTTTGGTAGGAGCACTAACCATGCATCCACAGATATACTTGTGAATTTAATTTTTAGGGAAGTTATTGTTCGCAGATCAGGAGTCAGACTGAATTTTAAAGCAAATACTACAGGCAACACCCTGACAGATTTTTCTGCTTTAGCAGATAATGAATTTTACCTTTTATTTGTTAGGTCAAAAAAATCCAAACATAAGAATTAAGTTGATAAACTCATGTTTCATCATGTCTAAGCCAGTGATGAGGAGTACATTAAAATTTGTGTGTGATTTCCCCTAAAGGGGCTTAAAATTTTGATTGGATGTTATGTGACAGATTTGGGTTCAGATTTGCGAAAGGCCCACTTTCAATACTTATGTATGTTAAAATTCTAACAAGACTTCTAGCAGCCTGAGTCGGAGACTCTGGGAAACAGCGCCAATATCCTTGTTCTGGCCCCTAACAGACTCAACAAATTACCGGAACAGCATTTTGAACTTCCTTTCATCTTGATTGGCAAATCGACAAATAATGGCATTTTTAACAGGCCAATCATAGCTCGTGCTTGAATCCTGGTAAGGATTTAGGGTCAAAATTGCAAATTTCTAACCACTCTACTGTATTGCAAATTCCCAGAAGAGACTTGAGCACAAAGACGACCAATCCAAATAATCATACAAAACAGGCCAGAAAGCCTTGGAGTCATGTTAGAATTTTAATAGGCTGATTTAGCAACAGAACGGGAGCGTCAGTTGAGGACGGCAAAGCGTGCCGAAAGGACTAAACGTGACTTCTCGTGCCCAATTTGTTGCTCTGCCTTTGGGCAAGCCAGTTGTTTGATTCTTTTCTGTTGCTAAATCAGCCTAATATATCGAACGTGGGTGGGCTATTCCTTCCTCCCACGCACGTCCTTCATATACTCGCGCGCCCTCGATCATTCCCTCGCGCCATCTCTCACTACTAACGTTTGTCAACTCTTGCACGAGTAACCAAAACCATGTAATTGATTATCGAATCAAGGAGTCACTAAATTTCCCTTCTTTGACTACTAGATCGTTCTTTCATGACCCAATTATTTTCCAGACCGCTTTAGAGAAAGAGGCACAACACAACAGGCACTTTTAAGCTACTGTCATTCAAGTATGCGATGCAATACAAGTGAGCTTACATGTAAAAACGAGGCGAAGTATTTTAAAGTTTAACCTCAGGGGACCTGATATGATACTTGCACACAATAAGAAGACACAGTATGCTTAGATTTCACATGAAAAAGAAACGAATTAAGTCCGATTCTTACCTGGACAAGCAACGCATGCATTGCAATGCAATGCGGAAAATCTACTTTTTAGAGAACACCAGCAAGAAGCCAAGCGATGTAGCTTGATAAAGTTGTATGATGGGATGCTTGCTGAGAAAATCAACTCGGCTGATGTTTTCAGGTTTGCCCCAAGCAACAAAAAGTCGAAAATTTACCGTTGAAAGGGATAAAGACAGCGACACACTTTAATACTTCCAAACCGACGTCGAAGTAACCTAACTTATCTGGCAGTGCCTCGACTGTCGATGTCTCTAACAATTGTCTTCGCATTCATTGGCTCAAAACTGTCCCATGACGTATCAAGACGAAAAACTGGTATTCTAGGTTAGTTGAATGGACTTACATTGTAAGTTTTCGTCATATGTAATCTCTATACTAGCGTCACAAATAAAAGAAAAAAAAAATAATTTAAGCTTAAAAGTAAAAAAAAAAAATTGTATCCATTTGTGTATTCCGAAAATCGCGTGTTAATTTTATTTGACATACTGTATTTTATAGTTTTGTTCAGAAGAAAACTGGGGGCAAGGCAGGGGGTATAAACATGTAAGCGAGGAGACGGGAGTTTAATTCATAAAAAGTGACTAATTCGTTTACCCTGCAGAAAGGAGTAGTTGTTGTGCGGTTTAATATCATGCCACTTTTCACTGAGTCAGCGTGACAGATTCTGACACAGCGATGGTTCCAAGAATAAGCCGTGAATTGCAAACAACAAGATACTTTTGTAAAAAATTTAACATTGCATTGAAAGAATAAAACAGTGT